AAAAGGGGGTTTTTCAAAGAAAAGGTTTTTTTTCCGCCCTGGGGTTTTATAAATTTTTTGGGGGGGGAACCCCCCCCCCCCCCCCCCCCCCCGCCCCGGATATCGTTCACAACCCGTGCTGGGCTCTTACGTTATCACTTCCTACAGGACCTTTCAATGGGACTATAAAGTTACGCTGGTCACAACTTGAACAGATTGCCTCAAGTTCCGCTGTTTTCAACACTACGACCACGCCCCCCCCCCTCCCTTCTCCGAAAAACGCCGCAGGGTTTCGCCGACGCTCCGGCTCTTGAGACCGTCCTGGAGGCTGGCGAGCTGCTGTACATCCCCAGTTTCTGGTACCACTACATCGTCTCTGAAGGGTTCAATGTACAGTGCAATGCAAGGTCTGGGCTATCGCTGAGAAAGGTGAGGCCACTTTGTCCTTGTGTGTGTTTTTCGCTTTTGCAGAGCACGCGAGCTCTTTTGTCTTTATTGGGGGGAGATATAACGATGACATGAAATAAATCGCCTGATAATAGCAAATAAATAACGATAGTTGACAAGTGGGGGATGAGAATTAGCCTTCCCCCTGCTGCGGCTACTTCGAAGGAAGTTTATCTGCTTTTTTTTTTGTCCATCTGCTTTCGCGGTCGTACACATGTACCGCAAGATTTATCGAGAGTCATACAGAGGATATCCCCGGCGATGTGTCACAGAAGACGTTTGAGAATCTCGGGGAACATTAGAAATACAAGTTGGTCACCGTACAACGCGTATGATTTCATTGCTAACCTACCACGGACTCGTATCTGTGGAAGAGATGAACATTTGTTGTATTTTTGTTACAAAAAAAAAAAAAAACAATGTGTGACCTTATACGTAAAAAAACACATGCACCGAGAGGTGTAGAGATTGGCTCGAGAGTAAGTGGGACGAGCAAACACAGCATATTTCCGTTTTTTCGGGGTCGTCGCAGCTTTCACTGTTAAGGCGTTTCGTTACCTCTCGGTCTACAACTACACCGGAATTGCTCTTGCCCCCTCCCCCCCCCCCCGCGCCCGCGCACCCTGCGTCGCCACGCGATTTTTTCGGAAACATGCAATGGCAGCAATGGGTGGACGAAACAGAGAGTTGCATGGGGCGGGAACTGAACCCCGACAAAATGGTGGACTTGTTGAGGCGTTCCAAGAACAAGGGGGGCGGTGGCATGGAGGGAATGGCTGCAAGACTAGGAAGGGGTGGACGGGGGAAGGAGCAGGGACACCGAGAGCGGGCCGAGAAGAGGGGGCAGGTGAGTATTGGAGGGTGTGTGTGTGGGGGGGGCTTGTTTTGCTTGCCTTTGTGCTTTGACCCTCGACCTCGCACCGCCGTGTGACCGCAGATGGATTTCGCGATGAAGCACGGTTTCCGCTACTGCTACTAATAATAGAGACGCTTTCGACGTCGCGGGTTGTGTCTTTCTCCGTGCGGGTGCATTGGTAGTTGTTAAGACACCCAGGCGTGTGTTGAGGGAAAAAACACCATTGTCCGTTGCGGACTGTTGACCGCGAGTGGAGATCCTGATCCCGGAACATTCCAATTGACGGGATTTTGTAGAGGCAGCGGGGGTCCTGGAACCTGCCGCGTGCTTGATCACCGCTTATGAACACCGGGCGATGATGACTTCCGACCAGGGGAAAGATTATCAACAAGAAGGCTGGGTTGCTGCGCCAAAGTGCTGCCGTAGTTGTTGTGCTTGAAGTGCTGCCGCGTTTTTGAGGACGAGACTACCGGCGCGGAAATTGGTTCTCTTGGTTTCCCATCGTCGACGGCGCCGATGACGTGAATTTCCATTCCCCAAACGTACCTGCGTGATGACGACCTGGTAAAGCCTTCTATCGTTCTGGTCTCGCTTTTTTTTAGCACGCTGCTGGTGACAGCCGCGGAGCAAAGACATATAATAGTCACTCACGCACACACACCGTTCGTATGTTTCCGTCCGACTTGTTCTGAGCTCCACTCTATTCCTTTCGGCGTGCGCTTGACGCGCCAGCCGGGGTTGCCATTTCCTCGTACGGCGCTTGCCTTCAATTGGTATCGCGAGAGAAGGTTTCAGCAATCCCCTTATCTCTTCATTGCGGGCACTCTCAACCACAACCGTGAGATTTTTTTCACCGTGGAGGGATCGAATCCACCAGCTAGAGCCAGAAAAAATTGCGATGTTTTCGCCGACTGAACCACTCAAGTTGCTGCTGTTGTCTGACATTGTCTGACATCATTTGTGTACGCCCCCCCCCCTCTGCCCCCCCCACCTCTTATTTTCGCGCGCAGCGACCACACCACCCATAGCCGGAGGTAGAGACCCTTTCTCTCCCTGGCCCTCGGCGGATAATAGCGGGATCTGTACGCTTTGGGAAGGTTTTCTCGTCGGGGTATTGTTGGGACGATGATGGGCGTCGTTTTAAGAAATTGGGTTTTCTGGCGTCAGCGAGGACTGCTTCCGCCGGGGTGATTGGGTGGACGGGGAACGGACGGCAGTGTCCGATGCGCTTTCGGTGTGCCGAAAAACAGGCTTAAGGTAGTCGTTGGGAAATCGATATCACGGTGCTGTGCCTATCAGTGAGGTAACTCATGCGATGGAGGGCGATAGGAGAAGGGAGGGGGGGGACCGGGCGGGGACTTCAGACTAGGCGCCCCACCTGTTCTGTGCGGGAGTGCTACATGTGTACCGGCAGGGAATCCGTCCGTTTCTCTTGTGAAGAGTTCTTTGGTAATCAGGATTTTATCTGGTGCCAGCTCGCATGTGTGAGCGCCCGTCTTTTTCCCCCCTGGGACGTGCGATCCCGCTTGTTTCTGCTGTAGGCCGTGCATGTAGGGTATGCAAAAGGGGCGCTGGGACGAAATGGGTTCTTGGGTGCCCGAACACGCGAGGTGACGGCTCTTGCCAGAAACAGCAACCATGGCACGGTTCCAAGCTACGGACTTGGGGCAACGACCCGTGGTCTGTGTCGAAGTGTCAATGGTAAATGCGCAAGGGCGAGCAAACAAATGTGCCCCTGGTGCTACCCCCCCTTGTGGCAGAAACGTAAAGAGCTCCCAAATGTTGGTGGTGTCTCTAGTAGGGGTAGGAACGGTGCTCCGTCTCGAAAGGGACGCGTGGCCAATGGTCAAATGACTACGGCAAGCAACAAATGAGTACGCCCCCCTCCCCCCCCCATTCTGGCTGTGCACGCCATGCAGCATGCAAAAGATGTGACCTTCGTGGTATTCTCTAGGAAAAAAAAATTGCGAATATTTGCTCTGTGTATGTGCTCGTCGTCAGCTATGAAATATACCTCGGGATTTTGCCGTTTCGGTGATAGATGTGAAGAGAGAGCGAAGGCGGCGGGTATAATTCCTTGACCCGTCTGGAAATGTTTATTTTCTTTTTGCCTTTTATAGGGATGCCACCTACATGGAGCATGTTTTAGAGGACGGTGTTTACGGTCTGGGGGCGTTTTTTTCGTTTGGTGAACGTCATCGACATCATTGGGTACGTTTGCAAGGTCTCCCGTTGTTCGAGGGCGCTGGTTTGAGGGCGGGGGCGCGCCTGCCTGAACTACCCTATGCACCTTCCAGCCTGTGGGTTTGTGTAGCTGTTGCCAAATGGTCTTAGTGCGTGTGGGTTTTGTGGAACGCGTGTAGTTTGAGATGAAGGTAGCGGCCAAAAAAGGGTACACCCCTCAGTTTTTGAGGCTAGAATAGGGTACCAGTACAGCCACGGCCTGGCCTTTTCACCCCTAACCTAGCTCACCCACTCATCATCGGCATACATTGCATGTGTTTATCTCTGGATACAGATGTTTCCATCTCGATGCAGCCGCGGTTGGTGGCGCCAAGCACCGCTAGCTGGCTAGCTAAGAGTGTTGCAGTGACGTAGGACAACGAGTAGGGGACTTCGGGGGATAGTGTTGGGATTTCTACAAAGGAACCTAGAACTAGATAAGGATAGCGGTCGGTTTGTTGGCGGGAATTTCGGGTCGAATGGTCGAAACACGCGGCCAAAAGGGGACGGGTGTAGCCGGCAGACAGACTACCGCCACAAGAGTTACACTCGATGAGAGTGGGCCGGAGGAGGGAAGTCAGCTGTTTGGGAGCTTTGTTTGAAGGTTCCCTCTTCGATCGAATAGGTAACAGCATTGTATTTCACCTTCTGGTCATTCCCTGTCGTGCACGTGCTATAACGCGTCCGTCGGGCCAGAGATCCCAGTCAAACCGTTTGCAAACGGTCCAAAGTGTAAAGTGACCTACCTTTTCTTTTTGTCGTGAGCATCGACCGCGTTCACAGGCTGATCGATATAGCATTCCGTCTTTCTCGGCAGGACAGCGGAAGGAAGGCCAATGTCTTCTTATTTGTTTGCATTCTCAAAAGCTTCTACGGTATGTTTTCGGAGACACGCTTGGCAGGAGAGCGTCCTTGTCAGCATGGTCTACATCGTGGATTACTGCCCGGTGGGGTAATGTCGATTGCTGTATCATTGCTTGCAGTCTATTGTGGCAAACCGGACCGCTCCCAACGTGTTGGTTGGATAGTAGGATAATGATAAATGTGGCGCCTTTTCGTTGTAGCTTGTTTATTTATTATGCAACCTACGAAAACAGGGTGTTTTGCTGCACACTTTTTTCGACGCTCTTCCTGTGTAAATGCAACTTCGTGGTATTTTGATCGTCTTTCGGGTATTTTTAGAGCCAACCCCGGCATGAAGCTCGTGTCATCCACGCGAACAGCCGCTGGTGATGAGACGCTTCTCGACGGGCGTTCCGTTGTTGTCGTCGTTTTACGGTCTTCATTTGGTCCCAGTTCCGTTGTTGCCGTCGTTTTACGGTCTTCATTTGGTGTCCCGAGAGGCGCGGGTAGAAAGTGGGGCACATGCATCTCCCCCACCCAGGTGATGATTTTCCCGAACAACAGAAGACAGAATGGAAAATGCTACACACAAATCTGGGCGTTACCAACGGTTTACGGTAGATATGGGCGGGCTTGAAAGGGCCGCGTCAGTTTAGATCATTGCGTTCAACGCAAAATAAATCCCCAGTACGCCACAACTGTGATTCACCCCCTCACAGCTTGGCCGTGTTCAAGATTCAACACAAGCAATCGCCGTCTTTCCGCGATACATGTACCGCTCTCTCTATTTGTTGCACAAATTCACACACACTCGGTTCCAAGTTCCACACGAACAGCTGCTGCATCTTCTTCCATGACGATACTTTTGTACTGATATATATACAAATCGACTTTTGACGCTACAAGTACGCTCGACTGTTTCGCGCTTGTTCCTGTGGGTGTTCCACAGAAAAAAACGAGACTTTCGTGGAGGAGCTACCGGTCCCACGGGACCTTCGCGCACTCAACTTTTCTTTTTCTTTTTCGCCCATTGACGTACTTCCTCGAGGTGCATGGTTCACAGTTCGGGTGAACCATTCGCTGCGCGCTCTAGACCTCGTTCGGTAAGCTTCAGCGATGGTAGCGGGAAGGGGGCTTGCGTCTACGCGGTCACATCTCTCACCTTTCCTGTGGAAGGCACAAGAGTACTTGCCATCGTCCGGTACGTCTACCACGACAAAGGTACCCCTCAGTTACAGTGCGCTGACAACCCCTCAGCCGAGACTCTCTTTCCCCTTCTCCCTGCGAAACGAACGAAATGTCCTACTTATATAAATTGACCCAGGCCGAGGGCGTACGTGCGGACCTTCATTATCCCCCTCCCCGTGCCACCTTTTTCTTCTAAATTTCTTCACATAAGACTATTCTAAGTATTCTAAGAACGCGCGCGGCCTTTTTGTGGCAGTGACGTGCTGATCGCCGCGCGCGGGACCAACTCCACGCAGAGTTGGTCGATGACAATGAACCAACCATACTACTGCGTCCGAGAGGCGCCGAACACGGGTGGTGGGGCGTCACCCGGTCAACATGTTGCCCACATGAACAATCCGGGTAATATGTTGTTAGACCGTTCGAACATGACAACAACAGCAAGGTTTCAGGGCGTCTTTGGTGGCGACGAGGGTGCAGACGACGAGGGCGTCGACTTGGTGGTGTCCACCACGGCAAAGCCTGCCAGAAATTCGTTGTAGGACAGGGTGCCATCCCCGTCCGTGTCGAGCGCGTCCATGATGGCGTCAATCTGGTCGTCTGTTAGCGGACTCGAGAACACCTGCAGTAGGTTTCGGGAAAATAACACACACACATGACTCGGATGTTAGAGTCCGCCATTGTCCCACGGAAATTGGCGGTACTGTGGGGAGCGGTGTGTCCTGATGGCGTCGGGTCAAACAAGGCCTAACATTGTTGTTCCGCCTCCTTCCTACCCCAGTCCGCAAAAACCGTAGTTCAACTGTTGGCAGGAATGAGGTGAATGCATACGCGCTCACACGGATTCACACGTTTCGATAAGCCCCGTCAACACAATATTTCACGATCAATGCAATGAACCTAGCCCGTATCTCATCCCATGTCTACCCTTGTCTCCTTTCTCTACCTCCCGCCTACCTGGTTCATTTTGCGCATCCCGAAGCGGAATTCCTCTCTGTCGACAGAGCCATCCCCGTCGAGATCGAATGATCTGTATGCCCCGGCCAACTGGGAGGGAGAAGACAGCAACAAAGGGGGGAGGACACACGCGTTTATCAGACCATAAACAGCGAAGGGGAGCTGCGTGCTTACGTACGTTCGCGAAATATTGTCGACTGATCAGCAGATGAGATTAAACTTTCTACCACGACGTTCAGCACGGTTTGGCTGGAGCGGTTTCAAGCAGGGGCACTGCAGGCAACGTGAGAGCTTGATCGTACCTGCCGCCGGTTCTGGAACATGAAGTTTGCGACGGATTGAATGACGCCTTCCTGCCAGCCAACTTCCTGCATTAGTCGACCTCCCGGCTCCCCTCCGCTCGAAACGCTTGAGCCTGTTTGTACCCTGTGAAAAAACGGTGGCAGACGTGAAGAAGGGACGGGTTTCTATTGTATAAGTAGCGACTACATGCAGAGGCACGAGTGTCACAATGGGGGGAAAGCTAGAAAGAAGTACGGCTGCCTGCAGAAGCGCTTTGCGAAGAAGTTCACCTTCTTCACTCCGTGCACTCGGAGCAACCCCGAAAGAAAGCAAACAAACCTCCTGAGGCCTTTTCCCGAGTTTCTCTCCTCCACGAGTCCCCGAATTGTATCGCCCTCACGACAATACAAATTGAAGCGATACTAGTAGGTGGGGTGCAGTAAGCAAAATAGCGATGTCATGAGTTCGACATTACGGGGTACTTGCCTTTCTGATCGCTCATCTTCTTGTGCCTTGAGCTGCTTTACGAGCTCGTCCGGATTTGCGATCTGGATGCTCTGCCGCCCCACGCTACCCCTCCTGTCCGTCACCCTGAAGGCCCGCTTGAACTCGGCCTTTCACAGATACAATAATCACAGCGAGAAGCGAAGTACGACGACGTCTACAGATAGGAGGTGGTCGAAAGAAAAACGCGAAACTACAGAACGTAAAGTGACGAGAGGAGTCGTCGTCGACAGACGCTGCGGAGGTTTGCACCCTTGGATGGAGATGGTTTCCGCAGCAAAAAAAAACAGTTATGCCAACCAACAACATCAATGAAAGCTTGACCAAGGTCACTCCTAAGCCGAGCATATCGTTCCGAGAATGACTCTACTGTTCTCGCTGTGGGCTTCTAGATGACGTGCTGCCACAATAAGAGCACTGGATAGCGAGCGCACCTTGCTGATCTTTTTGTCGTTGTCGGTGTCAATATCCGCAGCGAGCGAAACGAGGTCCGCCTTTGCCAAGGTCGTGCCCAAGGCGATGAGCTTGTCTGCTAGCTCGTCGTAAGTCAGGAACCCTACGTCGTCTTTGTCCAGCTCCCCGTAAGCCTTTTCCATCGTCATGTATCGCCTGCGTTTTTCAAGTGTCGAGGAGGATAGAAAGACGACAACCGGCCAGGCCAACACAGAGGTAGGTCTCACATGCACGGACTTGTTTCTGCAGCGTGCGTTTGTCAAGAGGATGGGGGGCAGCTCTTTGTGCAAAATTTCATCTCCGCCGTAGAACCCACACCTAGCGGGATGGAACGTGTGTTTGTTGTGGCACGGGTGGGGGTTTTCACATTGTACACTACACGCGACCACTCAAGAACCGCTTATTTTGCCCGAGATTCGTATCGTGTCTTGTCTGTGAGGTGTCCCAAATCGACCATGTTGGTTTTGGTGTGGGGTTCTTAACTGAGCACTTGTTCTTATGGTCCAGTTCTTAACCTCATCACTTTTCGAGCCTGAGTTTCTTGTATATGTAGCTCCCAGCTTCCTGAGTGGTGGCGCGTGTACTACAACACAGACTATTCTCCGGCGTATTGCACTTGTTCCGGAACCTTTATAGGGTGGTGGTGGTCAGCCCCTACAAAAACGTAGGTGATCCTCTCGCCTTGCTAGGCTTACTTTAGCAGCTTGGTGATGAGCTCCACCATTTGGTTCTCCTGCGTAGGTGTGAGAACAAGGCTGCACCTCCTGCCCGCGATGACCTTGGTGATCTCTTCCTGGGGTATCGACGAATCGAGGTCGATCCAGCCGCATCGAATTAAATCGATAGGTGATGGCATGGATAGGGTCGTGTGTTGCGTTGATACCACAGTTTATTGGCGATACGGTCGGTTGATACATTGTTGTTTTCGTGTATACCTCCGTTGTCCGCGATCATGACATAAGTTGTAGGTGATGCACACCACGTACAGCTCTCGTCCGCTCTCCAAACATGTGGGAGACTCGTACCAGTTCGGAACGTATTTTCCACAGCACAAAATGTTTGTAATGTGGACACGGCTTAATAACTGGACACCTCAGGAGTGTTGTATAAGCGTTCGTTGTTCATGGTTGCAGTGTGCAGGTCGATTGTGTTCGCCCGTACGGCGTTTGTGTCCCTACCAACTACTCGTAGGTGCTTGCAGTTAGGAATGGCGCGCACTCACGTCTTGCTTCATGTTGAGGCGCGTGAAAACCGGCGCAAATCTCGAGGCAAACTCCTCCAAGTCGATTGTGCTATCACAGTCTTTGTCCAACCCTCGCATCAGCTCGAACACCTGCAAGGCAGCAGAGCATGCACACGAGTATTATTCGTGTTTGGATGGGCTGCAGAAAGAAAATGGTGCGTGAAGGGCACCTTAGACGCTCCCGGGCCGAGTGGTGGCTTAGGAATCGTGCTGCGAGCTGATCACGCTGAACTGGTGCGTGTCTGCGTAGACCCCGGCACCTGGTCATCACTGAGCCCGATCTCGAGCGCCTTGAGAGCGTTGACAAACTCTTCGTACTCGATGTTGCCGTCCCCGTCGACGTCGAAGTAGTCGAACGCCGACTGCACGTCGCCCGCCCCCATAGCCACGAAGATGCGCTCGCAGATCTGGTCCACGATGGCGTCCTGCCATTGCCCGGCGTTGAGCCCGCTCACCTACCCGTGGATCATGGGGGTGGCCTAACAACTTCAAGGGAATGCGCGAGGTGGGGTTGGTGTCTTTTCGACGGCATTTGTGTTCTGCGGTTTCTTTCTTGCTTTTTTGGTTGATTTCGGCATAGGAATTGCCGTGGGACAGGGGAGGGGGGAAAAATAAACGCAGCCAACCTGTTGGGCTCTGCAAACCCCACTTTGAGACACGTCGATGTTGGAAAAGACAAGTCATGCCATCGTTCTTCAAGCATCCATCTGCGGGAGGAGTTATATTGTCTATTCTTGATTTGTGGCGAGGAAGCGCCAAGCGTAGCCGATAATTTGGCTTACAGTAGCTAGTTCAAGAAAGGTGAGAGTGAGAGAGGGGGTGTCTTTGTGGGCATTCCCCATCTCCGAGATTCGCATGAATGGCTACGGGATTCTATTAATCTTTCATGGCAAACGTCTTCGGTTCATGTATTGTAGTTCGCCGATCTTTGCTCATCGCATGTGGTCATTGCCTATGAAGATGCTTGTTTGTATCCTTGTTCCACGTAACTGTCGCTTGCAACTTGATTGTGCTCCTTCGGGGGTCGGTTGGCATATGTTGCAACTTGATTACTTCTCTTCGGGTGCCGATATCATGTGACATCTGTTGCAACTTGATTGTTCTCGATTGGGTACACCGATGTCTTTCGGCGCTGTCATCCTTTTCACCTGGACGCGATACCTCTCGAGAAACTTGGTGTAGTTGATCGAACCGTCCTCCTCCACTTCAGCCAACCGATCCTGCAAAATATGAGCGGGCATCAGTCGGGAGAACTCGTGAGCACTATGTATGGCCGAGGTGAAAATAAGCGGCAAGAAAAGCACAAGCAGACAAGCAGCAAGAGGGTGGATGGACCACAAGTACAAGTTGAAACAGTGACAAAATAATCCCGAGCCGAACAGAGCTTATTCCACGCTGACCTGGTGCATGTTTCTTCAAGAAGTAATGAAAGGGATTTGCAACCAACGTATAGCAGCTGTTTCAACCACTGCGTCGAGTTTGATTTGTTTCGCTCTTGCGTCACTCACCACATAGCTGAGAAACGGCACATCCAGCTGCAGCACTAGGTTGAGGCCGTTCGCCCACTGCACCTTGCTCACCCGGCCGCTCTTCGTTCGGTCCTGACACACGAGCAGACACACAATTGTAGCAGGGGCAGGCGCTTGAGGGAAGTGATCGGTGTCGGAGGGACAGCCCGCCGAAATGTGGTGTAAGCAGGATGATTTCAGGCCCTTCAAGCCAAGGCTCCGAAAAACCTCAGCAGAAACGACAACAACAGCAGCACATGTTGAGGTGCAAGACGAGTAAGCCGCACCCCTCGCACATTCCCACCGCTAGGATATGTTGACAGACAAAACCTTCTGAGGAAAAACTCTCAACAGGCCGTGTGCCATGAAAAGCTCTTCCTAGGGAAACATGGCACCCACATTGAGCTTGGTGCTTGTCGTCGCGACAAGATAATTTGGCTGTCTATGACGTCGCCGTCTATACGTACGTACTCGGTTTGTGATTTGGAGAAAGCAACGCATGCTCGAAGTTTGACTCCTCACAAGGGTGGCTTGAAGCGAATACACAACCTCTAGGACGTGGATCAGGAAAGTGCAGCTTGTGCCAAGTACAGGGAGTTGCAGCAAAAATTCCGTGGAGGTTAGGTCGAGCAAGATCATTCAGCCCACTACAACATGCCTCCGGGGTGTAGCACCAACTTCGGCTGGATTTTCAATCAATTCCATCGCCGTGTTTCAGCAATCATATACGTCGAACAAGGCGGGCCACGGGACAACATTTTCGACCACCACGAGACACTGCGTCATTCCATCCCCACCCTCGAATTAGTGGTGTTTCACTTGCAAGTTTCGGCCACCAAGCTTGTGGGCCGACGACCCAATGCCACCTTTGCGGACGTTTAGATAAGACCAACAAGCACACAACACGAACAACAACAACAACAACAATAACAGGAACGCCAACGACGATGACGACGGCGACGCCGGTGACAGACCTCGCGGGTGTAGTGCCAGTAGAGACTTGGCTTGAGATCGAGCAGCCTCTCGATGATCATGTTTACCGCCTCCGTTTCCAGCCGTTCCTCCGTCTCTCGCTGCATCGTGTCCTGGTCGAAGCAAGTTTCCGACACACTGCTCGACACAGCACAATTGGTGACAGTGATGGTTACGGCTCAGCTCGGCCCATCCGCCCCAAAGGACCAAACAATTTGTGCACAAATGTAGAGGTGAGAATAGATGTGAACCTGTGAGGCAAGGAGGTGGCGGCTGTGTGAGGCAGCTTGGAGCTTGGAGTAAATTGAGAAAACAGGGGCTCCGTTCTCTATGGCCCACGGTCCTAGAACCGTAGCTTCAGCCAAATAGTGCCGGGTAGATCCGATCGGTGTGTCGTTGACATACCTGTGCGCGTAGAACTGCTGTATCTCCGGCTGAAGCTCCGGTCCGATCGTGAGAAACGCTCCCTTGTTGGTCTGCATGCCGCAGTATCGGCTGGTGTTAGGATTAACATTTCGGAGACGACAGATGGACGAGAGAACGGAAGGGGGGAGAGAAGAAGAAGAAGAGACGAAGAAGAGAGGGAGGGGGGGGGGTGAGAATGAGAGTTCAGAGAGAGAGAAGAAACGAAATATGGTGGGTTGTAAAGAGAGACTTTTGTGTTGAACCTTTTTAATTGGCATGATGAAACGGTCATCACATACCACAGCAGTTGCGTCGTCGCTGTTCGTTGTGCTGCCCCCACATCGACTACGGTTTGAACTTTGACCAACACATCTTGATCCTTCTCGTAAGATGTGCTTTGTGATCTTCCGGTCAGACGGCTCGAATCTAGCAGTAAGAGCCACTTCAAACGGCGAACATTCTTAACAACGGAGTACGTCGACGGGCAACCTGCCAGGGAAGTGTATTTACCACCCACGACTCTACCAACCGGCCACTGCGAATCATTCGCGCTTCAGCTAGGCCGATAGGATTCCCCCCGCCTCCGCCTCTGGAAACGCCTACGATGTTTCCAGACATCGGGTATCTCCCCCAAGCCCCAACCCTCCCGCGCATGCCATGTTTACCCCACTCTCCCCTCGCACCTCGCCGAGAAGAGCGTGATTAGGCGGCCGCTGTGGAGGAGCTCAAAGCCCTCCCTCACGCACTCGTGGCTGCGGATGATTAGGGCCGCGTGGTTCGTCCTGAGGAACTCGTGGGTGATGTCCTGCCCGAACTCGACCCCGGCTCCTCTGGCCGACATCTGGCGGCCCTGGATAGGTCGCGGGTCCGACCAGAGCATCGCCTCGAATATCTGTCGGTGGTCCGGGACGGGGTTAGGATTGTTGTTACGTTGGGGTCGCGGTTGGGTGGGGTTGGAAGATTGGGTTGGATTGGGATTTGGATCAGGTCGTGTGCAGAGAACGGTCAAGCTTCGAGTAGGGTTGAGCTGAGGTACAGGGTAGGTTCTGCCGGTTGGCTTAGAAAATATGGGGTTGGCCTCGCACGGTTCCAATTACGCTGGAATCTTTCCGTTTGGGATACGGAAATTGTCGCCTGTGTGTTTGGTCTCAGGACGTTCGCATCAACAGTGAAAACACAAAGTTTGTTTTTCTTCTCGCTGGCGTGAGTGGAAAGCATCTTGAAAACCCGTTTCGAAAGAGTGTGGTGCTGTTGTAGTTGTTGTAGTCGACAGGACCATAGAGGGTGCTACGTATTCTGCCTTGCGATAGTTTGTCGTCACCGCGGTACAATCTGTCGCACGACCGAGAACGCATATTGACCCATCGCACTCACCTCCTCAATGGGTGACCTCAAGAGGCAGGAGTGAAAGACACGACAACAAAGCCTGTGCAACAGACCTCACGAGTTCACCGGAGTTTAGCCCTATCGCACCAGACACCCGGGACGGTACGCGCTCATTTTAACCCAGCCTACTCCTCGTCGAGTTTATTCAACAACGCAACCGGCAGCATCAATCTGGTATCATCACGGAAAGAGGTCCGGCCGTGGGTTCTCGCATAGGAGGTTCTAGAAACGTGTGCCGGGCTGCACCACCCCTACCGCTAGGACTGGTTCGCTACTGGTACGCGCCACGCGCCTGGTCCTCGAAGGAGTTCCCGTGAATAGGCGGCTCCCTCTTCCGACTCATGCCTTTGATGTGGTTCAAGGTTACGCCGTCGTGAGGGAAGAGCCCCCCGTGGACCACGAAGATCCTCTCCTGCGCATCGTAGAATCACGTCGATCGGTAGGATGCATAGCGAGCGGGTTTGGCCCGAAGATAATCGACGGGATGAGGGTGCTTGGATTGCTGAGCAGCAGGAATTGCAATCAGGTAGACCCTGGCATTGCTAGCGTTCCATGGACAGCGAAACTTACCTCTCCCGTGCATAACTTAACGAATACTTGATGGGCGTGAGCAACCACGTTGGACCTTGTCCACTTGCGAAGCTAACCCCTTGGCACCAGTATCGTTCGAATGTCCAATCGTTCGGAACTATGGTCACAAGAGAGTAGAATTGCCACATGCTGCCACACTGCGCGCTATGCATGCCTTCCCTCTCACAAGACGGTGGTTGTCCCGTAGCGTTGTTGTACCTGTATAAGAGCGCAGAGGGGCAGCGCGTCGAAGAGCTCGTGGCACGCCCTGAGTAGCAGCCTACCGTTTGGACCCGCGTACTTCTCGAAAATCTGCAAACACACAGGTTTGTCACAGCAAGGCGGGCAGGGGAGGGGTAAGAGGCACGCCAGACGGAATGAATTTGTTTGGAAATCGGACGTCTAGGGGCGAAGCACAAAGCACATTCAGACCAAGAGATCTGCGAAATAGTCTGATGATGCTCTTGGTGAAAGGTGTGCTAGCCCCAACGTACGTCAATACGTTCAGTGACGTACACTAATACGTTCAGTGCCACCGGTACATGAATATTCAGTACCACCCCCGGTTGCTATTTCCAAGATGTCAAGGACCTTGGTCAGCCAAAAAATGCGCCCTACATTATGCGTAGCGGGGTTTGTCCTCGCCGACAACTCGAGGGTACTTTTTTCGAAAGTCGGACGTTGTATCGTCGTTTAGCTTCAAGGACATCATGAAGGCACGCTCCCCCGGGCATCACGCTTCGCCCAAAAGGCACGCACCCACAGTTGACAAACAAACGGTTTTGACTTGTGAAACGCTGCTTTACAACAAGCATCACTAGTCTTACGTGTATTTCAGAAAGTATTGATACTGGTATGCATATGCGTAAGACGTGTGTACCTCTTCCTCGAAGCCCATGATCTTGTTCTGCTGCCTCGACTCATGGTTCCCGCGGTTCAGACGAATGCAGTCAGGCTGCATCACCTTCTCGGGGACACCACACCAAGAGGACGAGCGTCGTTGAAGGAGAGGATGGCGGTGGGGCGCTCGAGATCATGCACCATCCCCAGGCAAGCTATCATCACCCATACATCACCAACACAACCACCGCCACCAACACCAACAACACTAACAACAAAACAACGCCAACAACAACAACCACGGGGACAGAAAACATACCTTGAACGCGCAGAGAGTGAAGAGCACCTCCGATCCACAGGGGCCCCGGTCCACGAAGTCCCCGTTGAAGATGTAATGGTTCTGGGGGCAGGGTATTCCGTTGATGGTGAAGATGGAGAAGAGATCCTGCAGCTGCCCGTGGATGTCGCCCACGACCGTCATCTTGCCGTCTTTCGCGACCCCGCACTCCTGCATCGAAACGAGCCCATCCCGTCCAGGGTAAAATTCTACATTACTGGTGTGTAGATAGGAAGCCATCTGTATGCGTTCGTTTTCCGGGTAACACGCCTCTTTGTGTCCTAATGGAGCACGTGAAGATCGATAGAAAACAGTAGTTCAGCACCGCCTGCGGATGCGCATCCACGACATTAACCGCTCGACCTTGTTATTCTATGTGTATGTCCTCCTCCTATGAAAGAGCAAGTTGCGAAATCTTTAGGCATCCCGCCCGAACGCACTTTTCTTTAGTTTCTGATCGGGGAGGTTGGAGCCTGAGTACCCAACCGGCGATGCTTCCACTATTTTCACCCGTCAGACAACCGGCCAACTCAAGGTTTCGCTGCAAAGATAGCCGAGCGAGAAGCAAGGCTACTTGCTGTTGTGGAGACTTGAGATGGGCATATATGGGGAAATGCCCGCAATAATTGCCAGAATCGAAACCCTTGTGGGCTCTGCTGCCCTTGGATACCCCGCCTGCTTGAGCAGACTTGTCTGGCCCAATGTACTGAGAAAGTGAGCGACCGCAGCTGTTGCCCAGTTGGCATCGGGGACACGTCGTCAAGTCCGTTTTCTTTTGAGAATATCGACTGGTTTCGGAAACCTTGGCGCTGAGGAAAGCAGATGGGGTTTGAAGAAATGCCCCAGAGGGAGGACGATGGCCGTGGACGTTCAAGGCAAACGATACGCCAATCGAAGCCTAAGTCACCTAGGCGGTTGAACCCCCAGCTGAAGCATCTTTGGAGAGGTACACCACAACAACATATATAACAAACAACAACAACAACAACAACAACAACAACAACAACAACAACAACAACAACAACAACAACGACATTGCCGCTTCGCGTACTGCTGCTCCAGCAAATGCAGACCCTAAAACAAGACTCGCCTGGATGGTTGCCTCCTTGGCGAAAAGGTCCTTGGCTTTCTTGACCAGTGGCCACGCGTACTTGATGTTCAGAGTGCGCCCCTCCTTAAAAGCCTCCATCAATTTCAATATCTGACGCACAAGTACAAACGCACGCACACGCCGCTTCCGCTTTTTCGATGAAACCGACTAACGTTTGTTTATTCGATGAACAAAACTTTTGTTCGTGGCTACGTAGATGGACAAAACAAACGAACCGTCTCTCTAAGAAAATAAACTGCATAGTCCAACCCTGTAAGTTCCGAAGCATGCAGGGTTGTCTAACCGCGGTAGACGTCATGCAAACAAACTGCTATGTATTCAACCTGAAGATCTCACTACTCGGGGCAAGCGCACATGATATTTTGGACGAACGGGATCCGTGATGGGGCGAAACCCTAGCGCACGCCTTAAACCTCACTCCCGGCTACGTGGGCGTTCAATCTTCGAGGTGGTTCAAGGAAACCGCCTGAGCAATACCTTTTCGCCTACCCGTGACTCTGTCACGGTTTGAGCCAGAACCGTCAACCGTAGATCTTCGACCAGAAAATTTCGCCTCAAATCGAGTCAGAACATAGCATGCTGAACCTGACCCCAGTCAACCCCGATCCCCGCAGCCCTGGGGCTCTTGGAGACCCTGATGATGCCATGGAAACCTTTGCATGTTCCGCGGCATTCTTTGTAGCCCCTATTTAGTCCTCCTCCTCCCTATTCCAGACCTCCACCCCAGAATGATTCGCTTCATCTTTCGACAAAGTGTTTTCTTTAGCCCCCTGCGTCGGAGTGCCATCCGCAACCCGTTTGTCATACGCGTACCTGGGGTTCCGTGATGGGGAACTCCAGCTTTGGCCCTCCGCTGTCATCGGGGTCGTCGTCGAACTGAAGTGATGATGTGTTTACGGCACAAGTCGGAGAAAAAACACGAATCGTGAATAGGTACGTTGTGGCTGCGAGCATTGGACACGACACGCTGAACAAGATGAGGGAGATTTTGTTCGCCCAAGAGGTACCGAGTTCAAACGTTCAGCCGGATCGTTCTTCTCGCGGGCGAAGGGGGGAAAGGCGTCTATTGTGCTTGCTCGGCAACCCGCGACGCCCGAAGAACAACCAAGTTGTCGCGATAGGGCACACTGCGCCGTTTTTTTATTCTTGTCGGGACAAGGCAATATGATTGATAGACAAATTACATACGAGATTATTACTTACCAGAGTGAGGGTTGAAAATACACTTCCTTACAAACTGGTGCGGCTACATTTCATCGAAAAACGACGTCGTCCCGCTTTCCGCCCTTGATAATTCGGAGTCGGGGGGTGGGGGGGTAGGTAGGGATGCTCGACAACAGTGAGCACCGATACCGGACGGCTGCGGACACCTATGGGAAGCTATCGGCGCGGTTCATGACATACCGCCTTTGCGTACGTTGATAGTATCCCTACTCCCACAGCCTCTAGAGCACAGGGCTAAATCGGACCTAGACAGAACAACCTACTCGGCACCGACTCCGTTGACACGTTCCCAATCACGAGGTACACACAGCACTTGCGCACATTGGGCTCCACATCGAGGAGGTCCTTGCTGCTGTTGGCAGTCCCGAAGAGGCTCATGAGCTGCATGGATCGCTTGATGGCCAGCTGCTCGTTCATGTTGTCCAGCTTGTTCCAGACCTTGGGGAGTAACGACGAGGTTAATTTGCTCGGTTGGTCTAAAGCCCGGATCGCAAGCTGTTCAACTCGTTTGGGCCGCCCGTTGTTGTTTTCGCTGTTATTGTTGTGGTGCTCGTGGTTTTTACCTGCAATGATCCAGAGTTCTAGACCTACAAACGCCTCGACACCACCCCGCCAACCACCAACAAGGGGGAGGGGATGGGGGCAAGGAGTTCTCGACAGGAGCTGAAACGGTTTTATGTCTTGTTTCCGGCGATGGACACTGGGTTCTATGCTACGCAAAAACGCATCACTGGAGGCAGAGGTAATGATTCTCTTGCCGCTCATCAGCTGGCAAGCGCTGTTCGCAGCGCTACTCCCCCAATACAGCCGCGAGAAGAACAACATCCTCGACAACAACGAGGGCAAGCCTGAGAAGAACCATGGCGGCAGCACCACCACCAACAAACAGCAGTACCTACGACAACGGCGACCACGAGGACCGCAACGAAAACGACGACGACGACAAGCAGCACCACCATCATCCCCACAACAACAGACGGGAATCCCCACCTTACTGTTCCGCTCTTTTGCCGCCTTCCTCCGGGCGAGAATCTTCCTGCTGACCGACTGAGGGGAAGCATTGGCCGATTTGTCGGCCACCTCCTCATAGGTCACGTTCTCCACCGGGGTCAGCACGCCATGCTGCTCGTAGAAAGTCCAGGAGATGGTGGGGCGTGTGTTGTTTCGAGTGTTCGCATTTCGAGTCATGAATTCCTCGTCTGTCTCTGCAATTTGTTCTCCCATCATGGAACGTGTATCAGAGACTAACTACCCCGTAGATTGGTACCCTTTTGTTTTCAAATGACTTAAATCCTAGACTTGCACCTCAATCGTTGCTGTTTAGCGAGTGTTTGTTCGTGAGTACTTGCGCGCGAAAAATCGACTCTAGAGTGTTGACGATGGAGAGGATTTGCTAAACTTCTTGCAAAGAAAAAACTGCAGATGTGTGCCTCAAAGGAAATCCTGCGGTGTGGCTTTGTCCGGTTCGCCAGCGAAGCAGACCATACGGGATCGCCCGAACGAAGCCATTCCCGTTCCACGAGCACAGAGCTACCCAAAGCTCGGCTTTGTTTTCAACTTTACGCCACAGGAACGAGAGGTAAGTCCATCTCAACGTCATCTTTCGGGTCAGGGGGGAGGCGAGTTTCACCGTTGAACGTTGCAGAAGGCGCTCACGACCTCGACTGTGTCCCTCTTCTTTAGGGCATAGCGGTAATTTGTGAGCCCCCTGGCCACCACAAGTGTCAACTCGATCATCGTATCACTACACTGTGTTGATGCGGTTGAGTGGTCTAGCACAAAACCAACAACAAGATTTGCTTGCGGTGCCGTAAGACTGCACGCATAGTTCTGACGGTAACGACGGCATGGAAGTGAGGAGGCACGTAACCCGTTTGCAGGCATCTCCGTTGCTGCAGGCTTCAACCCTTATGCGTCACGGTGCACACCGATGTCATTTGCAACGTTTCAGAAAGCTTCTGGCACGAGAGAGGGCGCTCTTCCTACCGCCGCAGATGTACAGCAGTGGTTTTTGAGAACGTTTGTTTTTATCATTTTGACGTTATCATTTTCATGATCCAAGTGCTTGGTTGTAGGCAAGCCAGCAATTGGATCTAAGAAGCACATTGTTTTCTACAGCACGGTGTAAGTGTACGTGTGATTCGAGCACGCGTTTTCAAGCAACACATCCTTGCTTGTTGCGCCTCGCATCGAAGCACGCGTGTGCCAGCATTATTTTCTCCTTCTCCTCCCTCCCTGTTGCCGCACCCCCTTTAAGTGTTCCAGTAACAACAGCAATTATTCGGAAGGACTTACACCACATACAGGTTTACACATCCTGGATGCCGGGCTACCACGATGCATGTTCTATCACCCACGCACTACCACATAGCGCTCCCCTTTGCAGACATACGCAAGGATAGAATGTTCTCCACGCGGCTCAAATGCTATCACCGGGGCGTGGCGTCTTTTTTTTTCCCGAGACCAAAAAGTGTACAGCGTACCTCTGGGTGTCGTCTGCGACTCCTTCCGTCGGCAGGGACGGCAGAAAGCGAAACAGCCGCCTCACCTTCGGTTCGCATGTGAAGTACGTCTTCCCTTCGACGGTTCCGTTGCAGTTGCCGACCGCCTCGTCTAGGTCGACCCCTACATGCTCTCCAGGGGCGAAGTGCACCTCTCCTGCGTAGGCGACTCGCTGGGCGGTAGTTCGGAACGCGAGAGTGACGGCGAGTTGGCTATGGGCCCCTCTCGGAGGGGGGGAAACAAAACAAGGCATCGTCGCGTCGAATGGTGTTCTCAGCGATGCCTGTGGGTTGCTCCCAGTGGCTGGTTGCAGGATGGATAGCGATAGGTTGGCTTTCATTCATCGCACCATCGTCGTATAGTTTACATCTATCCAACCAACACGGAGGTTGTGTTGGGAGTACTTGCTGTACAAAACTGCAGGGTTTGACGGGGTATTGGGAATAGCCCAGTCTGTAACCGTCAGATGAAGTCAGCTTGGGCGTCTGTATTTAGATAATGATTCACTCTGTGTTTCTCTACCCAAGCCTCCACACACGCCAACCACAGCGTACAGCAGCCGGTTTTGAGCCTCGCGTGGTAGGGAAACAACGTCGAGTCATGGCGTCGCCCAGCGCCACCATCTCCAGCGAGGGTATGCGCCGTTTGACGGCATTATGGCGCATTTCCCCGGCTGGCTGTCACTATTTCGCTCCCTGGTGCACGAAGCCGGGTTGGGAAAGGTCATGTCTGGCGACGAGACTGCACCAGCTGCACTTGGCGCCGATGCTACTACATCCGAGGTCGCGGCGCAGAAGAAGATGGTCGACAAGTTCAACAAGAAGAACGGCAAGCTTTACACTCGTCTGCTGCTGGCGACATCGGATTGCGCCAACGGATACGCTAGCACAGCGTCCCAGGTTGTGCAAACTTATGGGCCGATTTTGACTGCGGAATTCGGCAGCGCCAGTGGCGTCTATGGAATATGTCCATCTCCTGGTTGCTATCACTGCTCATCACCGTCTAGTTCTCAAGCAAGCCGACATCAAGACGGCTTTCCTCCATGCCAGAATCCCCGAAGATACGGAACCCATCTACGTGATACCTCCGAAGGGGTTCGAGTGTTCGTCGGAACAAGCTAGACAGGTCTGGCAACTCAAGGCATGGCTTTACGGTCTGCGTCTCTCCCCGAAGGGATGTAATGAGACATTTCACGTGTATCTGCTGGAGAATGGATCCATGCCTGTACATCTTGAACGCGGGCGAAGTAATTCTCCTAGTTTACGTGGACGACATCCTGTTCAGAACCGACGAGAATCAAATGTCGACGATCATCGAACAGCTGAAGGAGCGCTTTGATATGGTGGACATCGTTGACGCGAGGATTATCCTAGGAATGATCGTTGATCGCAAAGTTGGCGCAGGAACGATTCTCTTGACGCAGGAGGTGTAACCCAAGGCAGGATGAGTTTGGAATGGGCGACTGGCACCCGAGGAAGATTCCTGCTGAGGTTCAGCCGATCACTGTGGTGGAGGAAAGAGCCTTTGTCGCCAGAGGACACCAAGATGTTCAGGTCTGCCACGGGTTCGGCCCTTACCTGTGCAGGGGATCGAGGCCGGATATCGCTCACGCGGTGTTGGTACTTACCACGAGCATGGCTACACCAAGCCCGAAGGCAACGGTCATGCTGAAGTGATTGCTGCGGTACCTGACGGGGACAATCTCCATCGGAATCACCTACAGCGAAGACGCCTAAGATGGAGACAAACTCACGGCGTGCGTTGACTCAGACTTTGCAGGTGACCAAAACAATACCCGTAGAGAAAATTGGGCAGTATGCGTCGGAACTAGAATGGCGTAGCTCTTGAGAGGACATGTTAGGAGTACTTGCTGTACAAGACCGACTCTATTCTCTGCAGGGTTTGATGCGGTGTTGTGAAGGTGTTACCAAGTCTGGAATCTTCAGGTGAAGACAGCTTGGGCGTCTCTGTGTAGATAATGATTCACTCTGTGCTTCTCTACCCAAGCCTCAGCCACACACGCCAACCACAGCGTACAACAGCCAGTATGTCGCTGTTCCGAGAGATTGCACAAGATATCACGCCCCCTGGGTCGTTTTTCAAAGCCCGATTGCTCTATAGCGAAAACAGTATCGGCCCCGAAATTGGCTGCGTTAGAACCGTCGCGTCGAGAGCTTTAAGATCACGTACCCTTTGACTTCGGCATCCTCTTGTTCGTGGAGTAATACAGCTTTAAAAACCGGTCTTCCTTTGGGGGTGTGATATATAATGCAACCTACGGTATCTGCGCCAGTCTAGTTATTTCAGCCCGACTGGTGGTTCCACAGGTGTACAGGAGCTGTCCTCTGCCGGACACCCTCCGCTTTCCTCCCACGGTGGGCGCTCAATTTGGTGACGATTGTAAAGCGGCAAGTACGTCAAGAACATTCCATAGAATCTCGCTCTGCTCTGTTGTTGTGGTACATGTAAATCTGGCCCTTGGTGCTTCTCCGGATCGCGATATCAGGAAGTTGTACCTTGATGGCATCTACTCCCTGACTCGGCGATTATTCTGGGCAGAGAGCCAACACCATGATAATTGTATGTGCGACGGTGTTTTGGATGTGCGGACAGAGTAGCATAGCTCTGGATTGTTGATCGACCTCATGCCGCACAATGCATCTAGACTTGGTGTTGTAGTTTAGAGTACAGTGCAGGTATATAGAAAGTATACCCTGTAGTCTACTCTGTACCCGATGGCGCTGCGCCCATTTGTGCTGTACACACACGTATCTCCTCTTTCCTGTGTAACACATGTACCTGTGACATCCAGAGACGACGCAATGTACGCCCCCCGCCAACATACAGTCCGCGAAACTCACCCCCTTGTGCGCATTCTTGAAAACAACCTCTTCTCCCACGATCGGGGCAATGTTGCCGGCCATATCTTTTGTGGGGAATGCGGGATCTTGGTATAGCCTGCCTTTGAAGTGGTGCAAGCGATGCTAAAAGCTGTTTGACGCCCTGGGGAGAAGAGGAAAGGCAAAGATCCAGCAGGTCCCGCGCTGGGTATTGCACTGACCAGCACCTGGCGCTTGTGCGATGTACAGAAAGGGGTTCCGTGCAGATAAGTAGGGGGAGGAGGCGCTTAAGATCTTCATATTGATCTCACCGGCGGCAGGTAAAAGTCCAATTGAAAGATCCCCCGTCTGAAAAAAAAAGAACAGAGATGTGTGTGCTGCTGTACGTGGTTTTTACCCTCCCCATGAAGAGAGGCGGCGCCAACATCTGTGGCCCATTGTAAGGCAGCTCCCGGAACCAACTTGGGCGACCGATCCGATCATCCATGTTTGAGCTCTATGTATGGTACGTGCGTCGTGCGTCCGCGTGTCCACATGTACTAGACTACAGCAGTATTGCGTACATATTGCGGAGTTTCGCGAACCGGCACCGTTTCACCCGCAATACACGCGCGCGCCATCGAAAATTAAAAAGGGGAGATGTCCCTATATGCTGTCTGGGAAATCGTAGACATACAGGTACTTTGTGACGCTATGAATCCATTGTTAATCTGTCTCAGACTCTTTTCTATGATAGAGATGGTTTCGTTGTGTCATATATTAAGAAAAAAAAAAAAATTAGACCGCAAGAAGACACGCAAGACGAGGAGAAAGGGCACGCGCCACGATCTTTACCCGCCCAGAAATCACAGAACTGCAGTAATAGTCCCAACATGGGTGAATCAGTCTGTCCATTAGTCTGTGATGCGTCTCGTCTAGGGTTGCTTTATGCTCAAAGAGGTTGATCATGCTTCGGAGCACAGCAGCAGCAGCAGCTACTGTAGACTACACAGTGTTTACTGTAGAAGAACACCTCACAAACTCATCATTCATCAACCTCACATTTTGTCCCTTCACCCTTCACTCTCTACTTCCGTTGATGACCGAAACAAGCAAAATCGCACAGCACAACGGCATGGAAACTATCCACAGAGAGTGCCAGCGAAGGTGTTCCTCGGCGACCCCATCATAGGGAACGACTTTGCCAGAGCGTTCCCATCTTGTACATTGGTTTCTGCACCTTTGCGGTGTCGCCAAGATCGTCACCGACGTGTCGAGCGGCGGTTCGTTGATCACGAACGAGCACACAATCAGCGGTGAGAGAGATTTTTTTGTTGTAGACAAGGGCATGTATCACATAGAAATTACCCATTCAAGACAGTTTTCGCAGTACTTTCGAAGTGTTATTTTGGATGGGTGATATGCACAGTCGCAAGGAGTTGGAGGAGGACAGCGAGAACGAGGAGCGGAAAGAGGATGAAGACGGTGAAGACGGTGAACACGACGGCAGGTGGTGTTCATATACATGTACATCTTAATGACGCTTTCGAGACGCAAGGCATTCCCCCGTTGTATTCAGGTGGACAGCCCTGCGACATCCGACCTGGCGCTGCCGCGCGGCCTCGTCGTCGAGACCGGCCATCTTTTTATATAGCAAAGCGTGATGTGGAACCACAATGGATGCTACCGTGCGGTCGTGGAGTCCGCGCAAGTCCGTTCGGCGCTCAAGCCGCCACCCGTGACCAACGTGAAGAAAGGGACGGCAACTGACGTCATCGGCCGCCTTAAAACCGCGATAGACGCGAAGGGTGCATGTGACGTTCGTTCCAGCGGTTGGCCCGCCGAGCCTCTCGGTCAAATGCGCCAAAATCCACGCCGTGATCAGCAGCTACAAAGACTGCCCGGTCGGTACGGAGCGCCTCCGGGAGTCTTGTCCCCCTGCTGGCCATGTGGGAGCTTCGTGTGTGATCCGGTGAGTCGTCCGTTGGGTAGGCTGACTTGGTCCGCCCTGGCGCCCTTTGAACAGACGGTGCTGCTCTTTTTTTTTGCTAGAGGACGTGTACGGTGTGAAGAAAGTGTTGGGAATTGTGGGCGAGAACGGCGTCCCATCTCTCAGATTGCTTCTTGACTGATGATATCACACGCAAAGCGCACTTACTTGGCCAACGCGTCCAATTTTTTTTTCGATGCTCACGCGAGCAGTAGAAACGTGGCGAAATCTAGTCCATACAGCGGAGTGGTGGAATATGCTGAGAAATGTTAATCTCTTAGGATACAACCGATGCTGCAGTGCTTCCTCTAACCCTACAAGAGCAAGAACTCGACCCTTCGTTAGCATCGGAGGCAACCCGTTGACCCATAAATTGTAAAGTTACCAAATGCATGCACCCACACCACGGCCATCCGTGCATACTCTCCGGGTGACGTCAGGAAC